TCAACCACAGACCTTATTTTGAGCTATTTTCCAAAATCTTATGGAGAAATTGCATTGCGTTTTTGACGAAGGAACCGGAAGGAGTTTACATCCGGGTTTTAAGACGTGTCACTGAGGTTCTCTATACGTATGATTGTATGAAAAGATCTTCAAATAAATACAAATGTATTTATTATAACCGTTAGTCCTTAACATCTATCACTGTGTATATCACCATTCAAACATCTTTTAAAAGTTGAACAAACTCCACACAGCTCAGTAAAGACTGTGAAATGCTGACTTTATTTGATAATTTCAGTAAAAACTAACGTTCATATTTCTCTTTTTGATTATAATACTGATGAACGTTCAAAACAAAGCACTTTGGCAACTTACCACATACGTTTTAAAATGCTTAATAAGCACCGTAACTTTCATGATATAATTTCTCCGTCATAATCGGTTGTTTCCGTGGTTGCGTTCCAATAGTCTATTTAGCTTAGGAACCTTCCTAACCGAGTGAAATGACCCGGAAGTCCCTCAGTGGCAGCCATGTTAAGTGCTGTTCCAATTCTCTAAATGAAAGGAAAGGAGGTTTCAAACTTCCATTATAACCTCCTTTAGCTTAGGAACCACTGGACCTCCCTCACCGAAAGGAGAGGAGAAAGTGCTGCCCCACAATGCATTGCAGCCGCAGAATTTTCCGTCACTCAACAGTTGGCCGTTCACGGAAACAACCGATTATGACCGAGAAATTATATCATTAACGTTACGGTGCTTATTAAGCATTTTAAAACGTATGTGGTAAGTTGTCAAAGTGCTTTGTTCTGAACGTTCATCAGTATTATAATCAAAAAGAGAAATATGAACGTTAGTTTTTACTGAAATGATCAAATAAAGTCAACATCTCACAGTCATTACTGAGCTGTGTGGGGTTTGTTCAACTTTTAAAAGATGTTTGAATGGTGATATACACAGTGATAGATGTTAAGGACTAACGTTTATAATAAATACATTTGTATTGATTTTAAGATCTTTTAATAGTTCATACAATCGTACGTATTGGGATCATTTGTATTAATGTGGACCGGAGGGAGAGGGTGACGAGCATAAGTTTCACTTTCCTTTTTTATTTCAATTCCAACTTTGGTCATGAAGAATATGTTTCTCTGTTGTCCACGTTCATAAAGCAAAGCAACAGCATCAGAGCACGGTGCAGAGTCTCTAGATGAGTTTACAGTAGTCCCTCGTTCTTATTAAACATCCATGTTGTAGTCCGCTGTATAGACAACTGTAGTTTCCATAGTTTCCCCACAGCAGCAGACGCACATTCATGACGTCCACTGGAGCATCATAAACACGTCGGATAGTGAAAGTGCATTCGGATTCTCTAAAGCAGAGGTTCTCAATTGTTTTTCAGCCAAGGACCCCTTACAAGATAGAGAATACACCAAGGACCCCCTCATTCTGATTTGTGATTTTGGGCTATATAAATAAAAATTGACTTGACTTGTATGTCCCTTGGAATAATCTGACGTAGCCTATTTTTTACACTTCTATAGTCTTAGTTATGTGAAAGAACAACACAAGAGAAATGTATTAGAAATATATTAGATATGTATTAAAAATATTTGCACCATCTCAACACAGAATACCCATAACACAATCAATCAATTAGCTGCAAGTAACACTGTACCTAAAGAAAATATCAAAGGGAAATCAAGAGAAAAGTGATCATTTGAAGTGCATTTCAGAATATACACACACACACATAAAGATAACACATCAAGTGTTTCACTCTTAGTTAAATGATTTATAAAAGTCAAATCACAAAATAAATGCAGGCTATAAACAATTGAACACATGCCTGCATTGCAACATATATCAAGTAAATTGCAAAACAACTGCAACTGCATTGCTACAATCCCAAACCACTACTTGTAATGGCAGCCAGCTCTGCACACTATTGGAGTGATGCAAGGCAGTCCATGAAGCTGATTGCTTCTCTCTGCAAGTGAAGACACGCAAGGTGTGGCCCTTAGTGTGGGTGGGACCTTGGACATGCTGCGTGATGTTAAAGCACTCCAATAGTGACAGAAACTCAGCGGCAAAGGTGCAGGTTCTGGAGTCCACGTGGATGTTAAAATCACCTAGCAGTAGTGTGGATGGGGACATGGAGCAGATTGAGGTGAGAAGCTCAGACAACTCAGACATGAATGACGTGGAAGGTTTGGGGGGGCGGTAAATGAGGACGACCTGCTGCTTTGAGGGGGCAGCCACTGAGAAGGCAATGCACTCAAGTGAGATTTTATTCGTCACAAGCAGCTGTTTGACAGGGATATCTGCTCTGTGGATGACTGCCAGCCCACCACCACGACCAATGGAGCGGGGCTGTTGGAGATAAGCATAACCTGGGGGGGTGGCTAGGTTGAGTGTGAGGAAGTCTTGTTGGTTTTGCCATGTCTCAGTGAGGCAGAGAAAATCCAATTTCCTATCAATGATGATTTCATTAATAAGTGATGCTTTGTTGTTAAGGGAGCGGGTATTTAACAACATGAATGTGTGGGAGTTGTTATATGTTGCAATGGCTGGTAAAACAGTGATGCCATCAACACAGGCCAAGGGCTTCAGGTTAAATCTGCACACGTGTGGTTTGTTGTGATGACGTAAGTGGGCGGTGACGGGGCGCCGGGACCACACAGTTGGGATAGTGTCAGCTGAGCCGGTGTAAACAAACCCACGTTTGGAACCTCTTTGGACATACCTGGGTCTGCCAACTCGTAACAGCCCGAGGTATTCAATGACTGACAGACATAGAGGGGTGTAGTGAAGTGGTTGATCCTAAAAAGTTGCGAGGCGGAGTAACGAAGCATCACGATGGTATGATGCTAACGTTAGCACAGCGTTAGCTGTGGTCGCGGATCGGCCGGGAGAATGCGCTATCAGCCAAGAGTACAGATGAACCAGGACAGCAGACAGCCTGTCCAGGAAGTGACTCAAGGACGGACAGCACTGAGGAGAGATGGTGGAAGTTGAAGACGTTTGCCGCAGAGGAGCACCGGTGGTGGCCAGAGCAGGCTAGCCTGAGCAGGTAGAACTAGGCTAGCTTCTGATCGCCGTCAGACTGGCTGGTGGAGAGGACCGTTGTTGTATCTTTTGTGGCAGAACAAAATCAAACAGCAGCTAAGCAGGTGATACAGTGAAGCAGGATCGGGACTCAAAACGGGAAAATGAGACGGAGAATCGGGCTTGTCGTCAGATGGAGCCACTAACGTTAGCGATAGCGTTAGCCCTGAAGCAGGAGCAACATTAGCAGGTGTAGCAGGGTGGACAGGTCGGAAGCGGAGCATCCGTAAAAAGTTGCGATCGGGTGTTACAAAAGTGTCCAGAACAGCGTGTGCAAGCCACTGAACGTATGGAAACTGAGGTAGAAACGTTGGTCCAAAATTCGGCAGATACATTTTCGGACAGAGAAGCGGCGAACAGACAACGCCAGCGTCCTCTCTCTCCAAAAGTGTTGCGTCACAAAAAAAAAACAAAAAAAAACAACTAATGAATCTGAAAACTTTTCACGGACCCCCTGGCAGAGTGCCACGGACCCCCGGGGGGTCGCGGACCCCACTTTGAGAACCACTGCTCTAAAGTACCGCTGTCTCTTCTCCTAAGTCCTTTTGAATTCTCCTATCCACTATCCCTTAACCCCGTGACGTTTCACTCAGAGGTCAAGGAATAGGAGATAGGGTTATAATTTAGGAGCTGATTTTTGGATTATCGGAACGCAACCCTGCACGGTTATGACTAGAAAGGATCCGTCTTGTGTAAAACTGTCGCGAGAGTTTGCAAGTCACGTGGCTGAATGTTTACGTTTGGCAGGCAGCCTTTCAGTTACGATCGTTAACATCAGTGGGCCACAGCCAATGATGGTGAGAAGCTAAACTATCTATTAATTATGTCAATTACAGGGAGTGTGATTGTTGAAATAGGGTGTTAGCGGTCTTGCTGTTCAAAGAAGAATGACAACACTGTAGATCACCAACACTATGGTTTATTTTTTATTCACAGGCAAGTCAACGTTGTCACACTAAAAGTCATATTTACACAAGACGGATCCTTTCTAGCCATAACCGGCTAGAAAGGATCCGTCTTGTGCAAATATGACGTCACGTTCTCGTTGTAACTCTCGTTGTAATCGGAGCGGCTCGGAAACACACCTACAGAGCAGTAACATGCAACATACACATGAATGCAGCAGCAATATTAATAGAGAAACATCAGACATAATAGTAAAACACTGAAAGGGAACATTTTATTGCACCAGGAGCTATCTTGGGACTTTTACTGCGACAACGTAAACATTCAGCCACGTGACTTACAAACTCTCGCGAGAGTTGTACACAAGACGGATCCTTTGATCCTTTCCTTTCTAGCCATAACCATGTGACAAGGACCAGAGCCATATAATAGAAGAGTTACGACATCTCCGTTCACTCCAACAGACCAGTTTTTTACAGCAATGGCGGATCGTGGAGCCTCTCAATCATAGATATATATAAACACTAGATGGCTCATGGGAGATTTTCCAGCGTAGCTGACCGGCCGCCATCTTGCTACAGTCAACAGTTACTCTGATTCGCGTCATGGTAGCTGTTGTAAGGTGAGTGATCTGCACAAAAATACTCTTAACTCGCTGAAATCTTGACTGATTTACAAACGGTTTGGTTTATTCTAAACATTATTAGCATGGCTATGATACAGGATGCTTGGACATGTTGAAATTGCAGCTTTTCTTTGTGTATGTGGTTGTATTTATTAGCTGGCTAATAACAAGAGGCTGTGAGTGAGACCTAGTATTACAAAGTTGACCCAGCAACTTTACACCAGTGGGAGAGGCAGAACTGCTCTTTCTTTTCAACATAACTTAAGTTACACATGATTTCCTCCAAGTGGTTGGGCTTGTTAAAAACATCTTGCATTATGATACAGGAATTTGCTGGCTTTGTGTTTACAGAAGTACCTGACTATGCCGGACTTTTGTGCAGCCTACGGCTGCTCTAATCACCGCAGTCTGCAAACAAGAACCCGTGGGATCACCTTTCACGTGTAAGATATGACAATATTATGACTATAATTAGGATAATCGTTAATTACTTAGTGGATGTATGTACATTACAAGTCCTGCTACACAGGATCAGTGGGGCTATGTGAGATAATAGTATTGCAAGATTGTTGTTGACCCAGCCTCTTTAGAATATGTTGTTACCATTTCTTTACACAATTATTTAATGTTTCTTTTGGACACCTTTTTTATTACTCTTAGTGTGGTTGTCTTATTCTTAAAGTAGGCTATACATACATGCATACATACCAAAAATATGATAATTTCGGTGTGTATTTTTGTCCTTACCCTTAATGTTAAAGGAAAGAAGGGAGGAAAATGTTGACAATAATTTATATATCTGGCTACCTTTCTCATGTTTTTAAGGTTTCCCAAAACCGAAGAGAGGAGGAGGCAGTGGGAACTCGCCCTAAGAAGGGACGGTTTTGTTTCCTGTGACAGGACAGTAACAGTTTGACCCGTTGTTGGGCCAAGCTGTTTTGTGCATATCATTTTACTTACTTGCAGTTACAAATAAACCGCTGGTAACACATACCAATTCTACTCTGGTCGTGTCGTTTCCCTTTGTACCCCTCGCCAAGAGGGAACGCAACAACATGTGTTACGTGCCGTAGTGGGTGCTTGTGTGTCTCCCTCTCTTTCCCCCTGATGTTTCTTCTTCTTCTTTGTTTAATGGCGAATCGCTACCACTAGGAGCATATATCGCCACCTACTATGTATTTATTAAATCTTCATGTTCCATGAGACGCAGCACTATGTTCCCCACATATGTTTATGTTTGCTCAGTCTAATAAACCCATAACATGGTTGTGAAAGAATATCAAAGCTGAGGCTGGACGATGATTGATTGTTGGTGTGCCATGTGTCACCGTGTGTTATTGGTTTTGTGTTATACTGTATTTTATTGTGTGCAGCTGGTCCTTATCTCCAAGACACATTTAAAACAAATAACCTTGAAGCCCCATCTCTCCCCACCTGCTCCTGCTTCCTACATCCCCTCCACACCACACCAAGTTGTTCTTCTTAATAATAATGCATTTATTTTGGGAGGCCAAAACAATTTAAACAGTGGATTTTGTGATATATCAGCCGGGGTGAGACAAGACAAACCACAAATGGACTACAGAAGGACACAAAAGGACACATGGTACAGTTTATATTATTCTTGGTCTTTTTTCAATAACATATTTCAAAGGTTCTGGATTTGTTTACAAATCTAGAAACTAAATACAAAACTAGTATAGTAATATGAAGATCTCATGTCAAAAATAATTGTGATAAATTAGACAGAACTGGCCTGTCTGTGAGCACATTTTATGTTGGTTTGGTTCTTCTGATAAAGGTGTGAATATCTAAATAATATACCAACATATGCTATTGTCATTAGTTATGTCCCTGTTCTTAAAGCTAAGGCATTGCTAAATTAACAACTCTTGGCTTACAGAGTGGTAACATGAGACCGATTTTTATATATCAAATATAAATGTATTTCAATTTTATAATTTATTTTAAATATTAACAATATAATAAAATAAATGGAAATATATACACCGGCAAATATAATACCTTGTGTGTGTGTTTGTGTATAGCTATTGCTTTATCTGATATTATTTTCATATAGAAGTCCATGATTATAAGTATGTAGTATCATAACTACATCTTTGATGTTTATAAAAAACCAAACCGTTTGAAAATTGGTTGAAAATTGAGCAAGCTATGGTTATTTAAATAGTCAACCATAATGTTATGAATGAGAGAACTCCCTGTAGCAAGATGGCGGCCAAGTGGCAACGTCGGTCTCCATTGGCCAGCAGCGCGGGTGAGTCATCTAGTGTTTATATATTTATCTATGCTCTCAATCGCTCAGCTAACTTCCGGGGAACGATTGAGAGGATCTGCGGCTAGCAGTCTATGGTTGCAGCATAATAGACCGTTCGTGATGGACTTTTGAAGGTAAGAAGACGTTTAAAGATTTATATTGCGGATATTATCAGAACATCTTAATCAAATTAACTACACATGTGTATTAAAGGATGTTAGTGGATTATCCCTTCAATCAGTATATTTAACGTTTACAGATAACAGATAATAGGCTAGCATGCCGGATAAAGTTAGCAACACACGTTAACCACGAACAGCCTATTAATCCGTTCTCCTAATGTTATTTCCTCCAACGTTGTGGAATTAGAGAAAAGGGGCTTCTTAACGTGCTTTTATCCGGGGTGGAGGGAGTTACATATTTGTTAAATATAACATTGGGGCGTGTGATTGTAGTGGGTGGAGGTGGTGACCTGACAGTGTGCGAAAAAGTACACGTCCCACCGTCCGGGACGTGTTATTTACAATATCGGACAAGTAGATCTTTCAATTGACTTGTCCGGCGGACAAGTGACGTTTTTCGGCCTGATTTATTGACAAATTATTGATACATTCAGTTTACAAAAGGCAGAACTCAATCGCAAATTGTACGTGTCCGCCATTGTTCGTTTAGATTCTGCTTGTCGATTCCTAAGGAAATGCATCTCGCCGCTTTCTGTACAGTTAGACGGGGCGGGGCGGGTGGGAAGTGTAGCACAGTGGCAGGGTTGGGAAGCAAAACTCGGTTCCGATTAGGAACAAATATCAATTGTCCGGTACCGGGATTAATAAGAGTTGTGAGGACAGGAGGCGAGGCCGAGCCCCGCGGACTGCAGCTCTATCTATGCTCCGTATCAGCTCAGCTGCAGCTCAGCGTCTCTCTCTCTTTCTACACACAGCGGATCCGCTGCCCGATTAACAGCCTCATCTTTGTCAAACTTTCTTATGTTCTTTCTCTAACGCATAATGAAGGTTATTAAGCGTTTTAACTCCTATGTTGTTAATATTGACCACCATTTCCTTTTATGAAGTAAAGCAACCTCCCTGTCTGTGTCCTCGCGCTGTCCTCACATCCCCGGACCCCCAGACTCAGAGGAGCACAGGGATGTCAGCAGAGACGTGCACACATAGACTCTAATCTAGGTAGTGCTTGAGCACCTGCCCGTTTTGCCCTCTGGACAGCAATGGGCCCTTTTGAAAGTTCGTTTTTTACAGTTTAAAAACAAAATTACAGTGTACTGTATGTGGCTCATGGTAACATCGATCAATTCTGGATTAAAAGCTTCTAATATATACATCATCCCCCCCTAGCTTCAGATTGGACCCCCCTAAGTCATTTAGAATAATAAAAATAAATGTTAAAATAATAAAAATGTTGATAATAAATCAGTAAAATCAGGCAAAAATAAGAATTAAATAACATAACCCTAACCCCGAAATAAAGTAACCAAAAACCAAAAAGAAACGTAACAAAATCCGCAAATTTTTGCGCACAATTTCGGCGCGACCGCCACAACGACTCAGAAGGTGCCCCTTTTTTTTCTCTTGAGCACCTGCCCCTATAAATGTCTGTGCACGCCACTGGATGTCAGTATTGTTTATGAAGCAGGGTATAGAAGGTACATTATTGAAATGAAAATACTATTTATTTACTTTTACAAACAGTGAGCAGCTGGGCAGCTGCAGCATGTGTATTGCAGAACATGTGTAAGCGTATTTGAGTTGTAGAAAAGCGCTAGGCCTATAGGCTATACATCTAATGTGTCATTATTATTATTATTATTAGGTTATGTCCTATGTGTTGGACATGTGTGGTTGGACTCTATCTCACAGGCAGGTTGCAGTGTAACATCAGAGGAGACTGGGCCAATTGTACATTCTCAAACTGCACCAGAACTAGGGATGGGTATCGTTTGAAATGTATCGATTCCGATTTCGATTCCGGTTCTGCTTATCGATTCCGGTTCTTATCGATTCCCCGTTTCGATTCCAAAATTGTAAAATAAAGAGGTCAAACGTTTAGATAACAAAAATATATTTATTCTTAAAAGCTTTAACTGAAATTGTTACTAAAAAATATACATGCAATACAAATGTATTGCACAATAGCTGTGCTTTATTTTAACTGAGCTATGCCTGTGGCAAGCTAATAACAGGCATTACACTTTGCCTTTTCTTTTTCTTTTTTAGTGTAGTGGAGCCTCACTTCAGAGTGTTTACCGCGACCTATCTTTGGTGTTATGAAGTGACTGAGCTCGTGAAATGTCTACGGGAGGGCGGGGGAGCATCGCTGCGGGGCAACTGTGGACCTCTGTCGCCTGTCAGCGCAATTTATATGATGCCGTTTAAAAAAATGAAGGGCGGTGCCGGCCGTCAGCGTACCGAGCCGGCCGTCAACGGCCCGCTGACGACCGGCCGTTCTGTGATTCTCCAGGTCCGCCCTGTATTCCACCGGGTCACCGCAGCACCGCGGTGCAGACGGACCCGCTGGAATACAGGGTCTACCGCGTTTAGGAACCGTTAAGCAGAACCGAAATTGTGTATTTTGTATGGGTACCCGGTACCCGGCATTTTCTTATCGGTTCTCATCTGGAACCGAGTTTCGGTTCCCAACCCTAACCAGAACTAACTAAACAATGCAGAGATTATTTTTATATAATTGTATTCAATAACCGTAAGAAATTCAACAGTATGAAGTGATTTGTAAATAGGAATACAGATTTGACTTAATCTTTTCATAAATATATTTTTCTCCCAGTTTGACTTATTTTTACCCTCTCAAAGAACCGGAATTGAGAACCGAAAATAACCGGAATCGAAAAGCAGAACCAGAATCGTTCAAATCCAAACGATACCCAACCCTATGTGTGATGCAGTAAAATCTTACCGCTCACTTACGTTAGCGGTGTCGTAAAAACCGTGGGAAAATGTAAAATACGATGACGAAGAAGAAGATTCCAGTGGCCCCAATTTTTGTCCATTCTGGACAAGTGAAAAATGTATTCGGACAAGTAAATTGCCAAACTCACTTGTCCATGGACAAGTACTCTCTAAAAACTTTTTCTCACACTGCTGGTGAAATGAGGATATCCATCTTGGAGTTCAAGCTAGTATAATATAGTTAACGTTACACAATAATAAGGAAGAAAGCTATTTTTGTGATACATCGCTATTTATTTGGATTTAGAGTGCATATTTGAGACTTCTAAACAGTAAACTAAAACGTAACTGATTGGTGAGTGTTTTCAGCAGAGCCATATTATGTCCTTGTGATTCTTTTGATTATTACCTGTCTGTATTATGTTGCAGCTCAGCTGATGTTGGATTGATGGCAAAGGGAGAGGGACTTAAGTGAGAGTGAAAAAGGTACAAGGTACGTTTAAAATAGGTCAGCAATTTCCCATCCTATAGGTTGCTAGATGTATCTAACCCTTTCTCCTGTCTCCTTCTCTCAGCACAAGAACCCCAGGGGGATTCAATGGAGCCTGAAGACCTGCACTGAGACCCTGACCCTGAGTCTCAGCTCTCAGAGCTTTGCAAGCCTCTCCCTGTTCTTTATTTTTGATTAAACAGACGTTAAGCTTCCCGATGGTGTGGTCTTCGTTTTGTGAAAAATATGATTACCTCACATATGTTGTTGCTGTTGTTGTCTTTTGTGATGGTTAAATTGCTCCTGCTGACTTGAGCCAGGCATTCTTTCCTCCTCTCTGTGTCAGTGAGGAAACCTTACATGTGTACTCCTTTCTCTGAGCGCGTGGAGCATCCCCCGGCAGCACAGCAAACCATGGAGGAGACTATATGCCAGGACAACACAGAGGAAAAGGCACAGACAAATGGCATGATATGCTATTCAATGTTTATTGAATTCCATTTATTTACAATGGATGTTCCTAAAACAACACATTTAACATCATCATCATGCTGCTGCTAGCCCTTTGACTCTGTCAGTTGACAATCATTGATAGGCACCTGTGGGTCTCCTGTCCTTTCTGAAAGTCATAAAGATTACATTACTTATTTAGATTACTTGTGTCCTCAATTACCAGGGGATTACTGAAACCACCATGAATTAAAGAAATTGTAGAAATGAATCTAATCTGAATTTTGAAACCTTCCTTCCCTCCCTCTAAATATATCAAACATTAGAAAGTGATGCTCCTGACTACCATTCAAGTTTAAGAAGATAATATTTGTTTTAAACAATTCAAAGCAATAAACAACAGCAACAGGCTCTTTAACCATGTATATGTTAACAGGTAAGATAGCTGTTCACACTATGTATATTTTCTGCTATTTTATTTCTATTTGAGATGTTTACATTTTCGATTGTTTCATTCTAGTCTTTTAACTGTCTAATGTACAATGCCTTGTCTTTTGCTGCTGCAAAGCAAACATTTCCCAAATTGGTATCAATAAAGTACTTCTTATTTGATCTTAATCCTCAAATATTAGCACATTTAAGTTTTTCAAATACTGATGTAACTACATACACATATCGATTTGTTGTATAAATATTGCAAATCAAAACCTTTATTCACTACATATTACCAAAAATCGTAGTTCTATCTCCTGTTATCAATGCATTCACATTGCCCGCCATGAACTTCCGGGGAACGATCCTCGTCTACATGAACCACGTGACGATAACCGTTTTTGGACTTCCGTGTCGTAACTCTTCTATTATACGGCTCTGACAAGGACTATAGCCTACGCCATCTTTTACATTTGTATTTTTTGTTGGTAAAACGTAATGTCTATGAGATAGATAGTCATGCGTTACGATGCTCGCAGTGTTTGTTGTCCTCGGTGAGTATCTTACAGGGTTCATGACGTACCTTGGCAAAGCTAACTGTGTTAGTTTAATACTGACATATTCGAGCTAGACGGATCAAATACCCATACATAAAACGTTAAAAATACTAACAACGTCACTTTCCAAACAGAGCAATGTAGACAGTGTTTTATCAAAACATCTGATCAGGGATGCAAATTTGTCACTTTTCCGCGAAATTCGCCATTTTGAATCCAAAATAGGTCGTTTGTGTGATTCATGTAGATCTACAATAAAAATATGTTTGGGGTATGGGGGGGTCTGGGACCCGGAGTAATCTGCGGCCGCAAGCTGCTATGTGCCATCGTGACACGCATGGTGTTCTTTTTATATATATATATTACAATGAAGCTCGAGCTGTGTGCTCGAGTCTTCCTGCCTGTCGGCTCTGCTCATGGATGTAAGGCTCTGCTGCTCCGCGATGAGGGTCTATCTTCAGCAGCTACATTACTTACGGTGCGTTCGTTAATATTAACTGTGTGGTCCGGAGTCACTGTGGCACAGACTGGACCGCTGGTGAACAGCTGTTAGAACGGGCCGCTCAGGTGTTCAGAGCAGAGCTCCCTGTCGGAGCGTCAGAGCGTGATGTGCACTGAAACGTTTTTCTGTCGCAATATTATTGTTGAGCTAGCTAGCTAGCATACATTGTCACTATCTGCTAACGTTAGCTTTAGCCTTCGTTTTCTAATAGTTTTTTTCATAGGCTATAAACGGAGGTGGTATAAGTATAGATCTTGTACTTGAGTAAAAGTAGAAGTACCCAGGTCTTGTACTTGAGTTAAAGTAGAAGTACCAGAATGTAGGAACAATCCTGCAATCAAAATGTTCCTCAAATAAAAGTACAAAAGTATTATCATCAAAATATAGTTAAAGTAGCGACAGTAAAAGTAGAAGTACTCAGGTCTTGTAAGCTACTAGAAGCACCAGAGTGTAGGAATACTCTGTTACAGTAAAAGTACTGCATTCAAAATGTTCCTCAAGTAAAAGTATTAAAGTAGCGACAGTAAAAGTAGTCGTTGTGCAGATTGGTCCATTTCAGAATACTATATATGATATGTTTTATAAAGATTGATCATGAAAGTGTTCTCAAAGCTGGTAAAGGTGCAGCTAGTTTGAATGGCTTTGTATACTGCAGGGTAGCTGGTGGATTTACTCCAGGTGGAACTAAAGTCTGATTCAACACTTGATTATATTTCACATCATTCATCCACATCTGTGAAGTAACTAAAGGTATTAAATACATGTAGTGGAGGAAAAGTACACCATTTACCTCTGAACTGTATTGGAGTAGAAAGTAGCAAAAGAAACATTGAAATACTTAAATAAAGTACAAGTATCTCAAAATTGTACCCAAGTATAGTACTTGTTGAGTTTATGAACTTAGTTACCCCAGTGGCTATACAGATAGAAAGACTAAGCCTTGCACAGAGGCATGAAAATACATTTTCAAAATGCTCAACAGTGCTGCCAAAATGATAAACTGACTGCTACACAATTAAAATAAATGCTTTTATATATGGTGTCAATATACTTTTTACCAGGAACATTAGGATCCTTAAAATAATTGATTTTAAACAAATAAGTGTTGTAGCTTGACCTACGTGAGACAATGTGATTTTGATAGAGTTGACACAATAAAAAATTACCCAAAATATTTCTTCACTTTGAAGTCTTGTAGTATAACAAACAGATTGGCATTATTACGTGAAGTGGTTTTGGAAACACCATATTGCATACTTGGACAGATATTCAATATTTTTCACAAGGGAAATTCACCAGGATTATTCAAGGCATCTTTCTACAAAACATTGATGTAGTTCAGCCTGCAGGGAACCCTTGATGTATGAAAGGATTGTGGTTGCTGTAAAATGTAGAATATAGTTTTCAAGAAAGATTCCAAAAAAGTATTCAATGGCGTACTATAAAACTATTTGGTGTATTATAAAAATGAAAAGCGTGAAAAGTATCAAAACTTGAACGATTAAATGCATTAACATGTATCAACCAGAGACTGTAAATATGAAGGTATACATTCAAAGTAAAGGATACATTGCGAAGTCTTATCTGGCACATCACTATTATGTGAATGTACAGCGCTGACTACTACTTAACACTGAACTGCTGTTTCTCAACAGGGTGTGTGTCCTTCTTGGCACAAGGGCTCTGCTGTCGTCCTAAAGAATATTCTACAAGAGCTGAGCAATGTTGTCCTATGTGCAGCGAAGGTACATCTCTGTCTATGAAAGTATTCCAATTTCCGGTCAGTGAGAGCTTTTTAAGTGATGAATTTAACTGGGATTTCCGAAGCTGAAGTTGGCTCTGCTCCCTGAAGTGCTCCATCAAAGACCTGAAACGGGATGCACATATTGTTACTGACTCTAATCTTCATTTTGTAATTTGTCTTGATGTTGAGATGCTGACAGAGTGTTTGGTTGTTGAACAGGAACCATTGTTCAGAGAGACTGCACGTCACACTCAGGCACACGCTGCAGCCGCTGTAAAAACGGGACTTTTATGAACCATCCCAACGGACTGGATAAATGTTTCACATGCACCTCCTGTGACTCAGGTATGTCTCTAATGTCTGAATGAAGAATGAATGAAACTATCACACAACAGAACTGATGCCAACTGTGTTCCAAACCTAAATATATGTGCAAATAAACATTTATGTAAGCATATGCTTATCTCTATGCGGAGCAAATGAGGGAAATGCATAACATCAATGCAGGTCAGATCTGCTTCAGGTCTCTTCACATGTGGAGAGGGGAGAAAGGAGGGGGGGAGGTGTGGTGTGGGTAAGTTAGATGTAGTCAACAAGCAGCTGCTACATTGGTTATGCAAGGGTGAAGAGAGTTCTACAGTGTTACATTAAAAGTTATATTTAATATATACCCATAATAATGAATTAAGACTTCATTTAAATAATATTTTATTAGTCCATTAAATGCGTCATTACACTGTATTTTCATAAACTGTCTCAGTGATAAATGACTGAACTGAAAACTGACAGGCTTTTATATGTAACCAAGACATCTATCATATTCCACCAACAATTCTCTGAGTATTTAAGATGTATTGGTTGTATGTATTTATATTAGCACATAATCCTATTTTCTTTTTCATTATTTAAGTTTGCATGCATTTACCGTTTCTTTCTGTTTGTTTCTTTAGGCCACGGTCTCTTTGTCCTGCATGTCTGTTCAGAAACAACTGACGCAGTCTGTGAAGTTATAGATGGGTATTTCTGCAAACATTTAGATGTTACAGGATGCAGTGTGGCACAAAAGCATACACAATGTGTACCTGGTCAGAGGATAAAAGAACCTGGTAAGTAAAATACAGGTCACACTCTCCTGACAGTGACAGTTTACATGCACACTGAAGTCCTGGTCTGAGGCTTGTCCTGGTTTTCCCTCATAGTCTGTAGGGACTTGGCAAAGGGTTGCCGGTTCAAGTCCTGCATGGACCAAAAATACGGAGTGTATTTGGAGAGTAGCTGGAGAGGGGCCAACAACCTCTTGGGCACTGCAGAGGTGTCCTCGAGCCACTGAGACCCCATTTACTCGGCAGCGCAAACGGACCGAATTCGTTATCAAAAAAGTCTTCCGTTCGCATTCGGTTCATTTAACGTGTCCGTTCACACGAGACCACTGGAAACGCTGTAGTACATATGCCGGGCCTGTAAGTGGCGCTGTACTTTCGCCACAAAATACACCAAAAGCAGCGAAGAAGACCCCCGAGCATGGTTGCCATGGTTGCCCTTCTGTGTATGCCCCGCGGTGGATTTAGCAACATGTAGTTCATGTAATTCTCCATGTCCACTTGTTGCTGATGGTTGTGGTAGAGGAGCTGTAGATGTTGCACTAACATCTGTAGCATGGTCAGTAGCAGTAGCTACTGACCATGCTACAGAGGTGGGGGTATGGCTTCATCGTTATCAGGAAATGATCGTATAGGGCGTACACACGGAGCCGTTTGGCCCCCCAGAGCGTTCCGTCCGCAGATCTATCCTCCTTGGGACCCGTTATCGTTTGCGGGGTCCGTTTCTGTGGTTCCGTTACGGCCTCGTGTGAACGAACGGGCTATACGCGAGAGAAAAGTAGCGGATACAACCCGTTTCGTTCTCTTGTAAACATCGCCTGAATCCCCATTTCCCCCCCGCCTCTTCATTAGTGCCTATAGGTCTGTGTGTTTTTCTAAAGTAAACTAACACCAGTGCAAAACTACATTTCCCCTCGGGGGTTAATAAAAGTCGATCTTAAAGGTCTCCTATTATGCTATTTTTAGGCATATATTATGGGTCTGGGGTATATAAAAATATATAATGGGTTCTGCTCAAAATACGAACAGATCATGCATTTTAGACATCCCTCATACCCCTCTATTCCAGCCCTGTGAGAGAATGGCTGATCTGGGTCCTTAGCTTGAAAAAGAGGGGGATCTTATGCCTGCTCAGAATTCTACCGGCAGATACAGCTAAATGCTGCCGTGATTAAATGCTAGGGATGGGTATCGTTAAGGTTTTAACGGTACTACTACTTTTATGGATACCGCTTATCGGTCCGGTCTTTTAACGGTACTCTTATCGGTTCTTTTGGAGAAAAAAACAAGGTAAACTAACTAAACAAATTGTGGACAAAACTAACATTGCTTTTTATTTAAATTAAATAAATAATATTTCACATCAAAAGAAACAACAATGTTTTAACAAATGGTATTAAATAATGTGATGACAGAACTGTGAACAGAATAGCTGAAACTTTAACAAAATAAATAACTCAGTTTCCTCTAATCATTAACCCATGTTTGTATCATGGAGTTAACTCCGTGTGTTGCTGCTAGCATACATAACACCTGACGTGGAAACGTTGCTCGTGGACGGAGCTACAGAGCTACTAGAAAGACAGTGGAACCCGGTGCATTCCTCCGTCTGAATGTGGAGCACTTTTGATACATGTTTAGACAAATTGCTCGTGTTACCGGCCTTACATGCTGAACTCTTATTGCACTTTTGGCAACGAGCATTGTCCACATCGAGACGGTGTGTGTGTGTGTGTGTGTGTGTGTGTGTGTGTGTGTGTGTGTGTGTGTGTGTGTGTGTGTGTGTGTGTGTGTGTGTGTGTGTGTGTGTGTGTGTGTGTGTGTGTGTGTGTGTGTGTGTGTGTGTTGTGTGTGTGTGTGTGTGTGTGTGTGTGTGTGTGTGTGTGTGTGTGTGTGTGTGTGTGTGTGTGTGTGTGTGTGTGTGTGTGTGTGTGTGTGTGTGTGTGTGTGTGTGTGTGTGTGTGTGTGTGTGTGTGTGTGTTGCATGTAGCAGCTGCGTGTGTGTAAACTGCCCCTCCCCCTTGCAAGCAGGCGGGGAGAGAGATCGAAAATACTAAAAATAATCATAGAAGCATTTTTTGTCTTTTTGCGTATTACAAACGGAGTTGGCGAAACTAAAACTGCAATATAATGTTTGTAGCAATAATACATATGACAAATATTGTTTGCATGTCTCCAGTACCGATAAAAAGACCGCTAACGTCGGAGCTTAACGGTACCACGGTCTTTAATAATTCAGCCCCGGGGCCCTTTAATACCGGGGCTCGGTACCCATCCCTATTAAATGCTATATCCTGTTCCAAACCACATCAAGCATTATTTCTGAAACAGTATGGAGCTCAAATGCTTTTTCTCTGTGTTCTCTGATGCTTGCTAATGTAAACAAAGACCATATTACGTCCAAAACAGTCGGGCATTGTTTCTGATGGCAACGTTTCTGATTGGGCCGTGGGTCCACATTTCAGATATTACGTCATATCAGCAGCAAATCTGGATCAGCTCCGTTGTACCCCCGTTTTTATAGATGTGGGTACGGAGGGAAAGAGAGAGGGGTTTGTATTCTGACACTTTGTGAGTTCCCTGACACACCGGGGACACATATGTATGCATAAAGGACATTAAAAGTACATTTTGCATGATAGGTCCCCTTTAACTTTTGATCAGACTTTTTACTGGACTATAACCCGAGGTGCAGAAGCTCACATGACAGGCAGTAAACAGGAACCCCTCCTAGTTTCTTTATGAGTCCTGCAGCACATGAGGGTTTCTGTAACAGATATGATGACCTCGTACGTTTCAGTAACCATCCTGATAACCTTTAAATTACTCATCTTAAAATTGTGACTGGAAATGTACTGTATTCATTTCCTGAATGAACTTTTAGACCGTGAGGACTGATCTCCTGCAGTGTGAACGTAAACATACTAAATGAAGATGATGGATCATTACTGGATGTTCATGCTGTGTGACTAATCTCTCCTGTCTCTAAGGAACCAGCAGAGAGGATGCACAGTGTGAACCCTGTCCGTCTGGCTTCTTTTCAGAGCATGGTGTGAATTGCACGGACTGGACAGCGTAAGGCTTTGTTTGTTATGGCATTACTGAAACTAGGCTCTTCCTGCCCTGCACCACGAAATGACCATCACAAAGTTGTGATGTGTGGCTTTATCTGTATGTGTGACGGACCAATCTTTCCCATCCACAGGAGATTCAAACATCCTCCAGTTTTATTTGATTTGGTCACAAAACATAACTCTCAATAGACCTTTTCCAAATGTTTGCATTTTAATATTGATTTGTTTTTAATCAGTGTCCTTCTCTGTACTTTTAACATCATTACTGTGTCAAAGTTTTAGGCAGGTGTGAACAAATTCTAAATCAAATGAATATTTGGTGTGACCACCCTTTCACAACTGCCTAAAACAACATTAATTTGTCTAGGTATATTTGCAAACAGCTTTTGAAGGAACTCCGCTGGTAGGTTGTTCCGAACATCTTTGAGAACTAACCGTAGATCTTTTGTGGATAGGCTTCCTCAAATCCCTCTGTCTGATCATGTCATCCCAGACAGACTCGATGATGTTGAGATCAGGGCTCTGTGGAGGCCATACCACCACTTCCAGGACTTTTTGTTCTTCTTCATGCTGAAGATAGTTCTTAAGGACATTGGCTGTATGTTTTGGGTCGTTGTCCTGCTGCAGAATACATTTTCGCCAGCCCTTTTGTGTAGACAAGCTGCCGTTGATCTGCATCACAGTTCCTATGTTTTCCAGCATAGTTGAGTGGCTTGGCCTTGTTTCCATGTCGGAGGGATGTCTTTTTGGCTGTCTTCCACAAACTCACCTTGGTAGCAGAGTTTGGCTGTTCCTCACCCAGTTTTAAGCCTCACACAAAGCTCTTTCTGTTTCAGTGAGTGACTGGGTTTCAACCTACATGTAAAACTGATGACCATTAGCCCCTGTTTGGTATAATTGGTTGATCATACCCCTGACTGTAATCCTACAAAATCCCTGACTTTGTAAGAGTACCTGTAGGACTTGATGCTGGTTTGAAAGCAACGGGTAGTAAAACCAAATATTGATCTGATTTAGATTTATTTTGTTCGCTCACTTTGCATTTTGTAAATTGATAACCAATAAACATTTATAATTCATATTTTTGAAAGCATTCTTAATTTACAGCATTTTTTCACACCTGCCTAAAACTTTTGCACAGTATTGTATATCTTTTTCAAGTTTCATTTCAAACACAAAGTAGTACTGAATCTGTTTTCATTTCTCTTTTCCCAGGTGCTCAGGAACCCAGGCAACGCTGAGAGAAGGAAGCAGTATCACCGATGTTGTCTGTGGAGATTCTTCAAGAAAGCATTACATGTTGATACTATCAGGATCATTATTATTTGTATCATTAGTTGCTCTTGGGATCAAAGTTATAAAAAAAATGTAAGTTGAGCTCTGCAAATGAGCAAACACCATAAAATACACAGCCTGCTTTTTGTTCATTTTAAATGTTGCTAACATCTGACCAAATATTCCATATGTTGATAAAAACATATTTTCTTAATGTGTTTTATGTAGTATTATTCACAAACAATCTTTGTATATTTTTACAACAGTGTTTTGTCTTTTGATTGCCCTCATAATGTTTCTTAAATAAATTTGTACTGCTGATCCCAGGCTACCTTAAACTAATATATAGCAGCAGATAAAGTTTCAGTACAGGAAAGACATAGAATCTCAACTTAATGATAGGTCCGTGGCACTGACTGCACCTAAATGCCCATGTTTTACTTGTTTCTACCGGCTTCTGTGATTCTGGTTTCCCTGACGTCTGTCCCTTAATGGAACACTTCATCATTTAGTTTATCAGACATAAAACTACCCAATTAGACATCAAAGCTGTCAGAAATGTAGTGTAGTCAAGGTTCAAGGTTTTTATTTGTCATACGAACATAGCTACAGTGTAGTTGTGACGATGAAAAACGTTCCCCTTTATGATGTAGTTAAGTAGAAATATATAAATGAAAAAACTCAGGTCGCATCTTAAATGTGCACTTGAGTACAGTACTGACTGAGTATTACACTAAGTGACATTGTTTCTATAAAAGCAAGCCTGAGGAGCATGACGAGGACATGTTGAAATGACTCTTTGCACTAATATTGACTGGTAGAAAGGGCATGTACTCCATTGCATTCTGAAGACGATATTGTACTTTTTAATGCAGTACCTTCATTTGACAACTTTAGTTACTAGTTACTTCAGATGATCAGATAATTAGGGCCGGGACTCGATTAAAAAAATTAATCTAATTAATTAGAGGCTTTGTAATTAATTAATCGAAATTAATCGCATTTTTAATCACATATAAATATTTGACCTGAGAACAGTGAGAAGCAATTTTTTTCCCATGGATTTTAGTATACCATTAGGCGCATTCACACCGCAGTACTTTTCCCACAAAGGTTCATGAGAACTTAGTTCATGAGAACTCTTTGAACCTGGGGGTGGATTAGGCAAATGAAGCCACTGACGTCACTTCTTCTTCTTCTGCTTTGGGTTTACTGGCAGGCCGCAAACCACTTCACGGCGTATACTGCCGCCCAAAGTCCCCGGAGTTGGGGACTGGCTTCAGTAGAAGCTGCTGGGAGTCCCAGCAGCCTTCCGAGTAAATCGCCAGAACGCCGACACCTCCTCATCTCCACCGCTCCCATGTTTTATTTTGTGTTGCCATAAATTAGTCTCTCTGCGTTTCTGCGCTGGGCTAATGCTAATAATGCTAATGCGAGGATAATAAAATTCACAAAACGTTTTGGGAGTTTTACGGGGCGTGGTTTGCAATCCGCCCAGCCAATCAGAAATATAGCTCTTTTCTCACAAGAGAAAAAAGTCCCTGCTCTCTAGCAGCTCTCTGCTCTCTAGCAGGGACTTTCGTGGGGGTAAAAAGGTTCTCATGAACTAATTTTAGTACCGGCTCTTTTTGGTGTGAACGCGATAAAAGAGGCTAACGTCCACGCTACCTTCCACGCTAGCTGCTATATGTTTTTGCATTGAGGTGATACTTGAGGCTTGATGTGCTGCGGTGATATGCGAATTCCTTTTTGCATAATTTGCACACAACCCTGCTCTTATCGACGCTTCCATCCGTCCGTTTTTTAAAACAACATTTCCCACTGTTGTTCACTGTGGTTTGTTGTTGTCCGAAGTCATGAACGTTAGTTGGTGCTCCAGTATAATCGGTACGCCTGAAACTCATCCAGTGAGAAACGTTCCGCGGTGCAAAAATAAGTGCGATTAAAATGCGTTAATTTTTTTAACGCGTTAATTTTTGTGTCATTAATTAATCTTAATTAACGCGTTAAAGTTCCGGCCCTACAGATAATACAAAGTAAAACTAAACAAACACATACATATAATATAGTTTAAGAGCAGTAGTATACAAAGTAATTAAAATGAACTCAACCTTTAACAGCTATGATAGGCCTGTTTATATAATCATAATCCATAATACTTTATATATAATAATTTAAAATGGGCCATTACTCATAACAAGTACTTTTACTTGTGATGCCCTTATCATTTTATTTAGATGTCAATGTTTTTGTACTTGAATAACATTTTAAATGGAGGACTTTTACTTTAACAGTGTTTACGCAATTTCGTATTGCTTCTTTTATACTTAAGTATACATTCTGAGTACTGGATCAAGATCCCATCTAATATTTCTCAATATTCAGTGCTGTGTTTGACATGTGAGCAGTGGCGTTTTCTCCCGGAGGCCAAGGGAAGCCAGGCTTCCCCTGTTTTTTCGGATTGTAGTTATAATTTAAATAAATAAATACAAACACTTTGTTTTGTTTCGATAATTCTCCTTTGCTGTGTGTTGCTGCCGGCCCGGCTCTCCCCCATTCTCATTGAGTATTTTACAAAGAGTGAAACAAACAGCGCCCCTCTAGATGTTATGGTGAAACAGTAGATTGCACTCACTGTTGCGAGAGGAGGCCAGCCGAATCTAGCTTCCCTTGGTGAAAAAAAATGGAGGGATTGACCAATCAGATGAGGCCCACGTGATGCCCCTGCCAACCTGTGATTGGTCAGGGCCATGCCAAGGGAAGCCAGCCGCCTCTTGCTTCCCTTCAGAGGCGGCTGGCGGCTGGCGATTTGATTGGACACTGCCATCCAATCAAATCACATCAACATCAGTTTTAATACTGTAACTGTCATCACCGCCGTTAGAAATTATCAAGCAAATGAAGCATTATGGAGGGTGGAGATTTGGCGTACTTAATCAAACATAACTTTACTAAACTTCCGCTACAGCAGCAACTACAAATTAAATCAGATGACAGGCCAATGCCCGCACTCGAGCTGTGTGTACGCAGAGGAAAAAGGGAGAGAATCGGACGTTCAATGAGGACAATTATGTCCGCACGGAGTGGCTAACTGGAAGCGCTAAACTTCAGCGTCTAATTTGCTGGCCATGTCTTCTTTTTGACAAGGATTCGTGCTCCCTGAACAATCCTTGGGCAACTTCAGGATTCATCGACCTTGCCAACCTGTCACGGGCAATTGAGAGGCACGGTAAATCCAAAAATCACATAGATTGTGTTATTGTCTGCATACATTAATAAGTAAAATGCTTAAATTAATAAGGAGAGAGTTTCAGCTGGAGAGTGCGTGCGGACCTGTCGGTTAGATAACAGGCGTGTGCAAGTCCTGCATCTGTGTGATACAAATGTGTGTCAAATGATACCGGGCGCTGTAATCACTCATCTGGTTACGTTATTGACCACCCCCCGACCCAAAAAATGGGCTTCCCCTACATTTTTCCCCACGCCACGCTACTGCATGTGAGGACTTGTTTCTAAACGTGTCACGTTACATAATAAAACCATTCCTCATTCCATTGCATAACTGCCATTGAGCAACAATATGAGCATGATCAGATCAGACTATGGCCCCATCTCACTTTGGTTAAATTGATTCCTTGCGTCCCTCACTTGCGTCGTTTCCCTGCGACTAGTCCCTCCCACCAGGGAAGCATGGAGAGACGCAAGGAAACCACGAGAAGCAGGGAAATGAGTTTTAAGAGCAATGGGACGTCCTTTCCTCCGGAGCGTCACGTGAAGTGACGTCCGTTTGTGATGACGCTGCACAGCTGATCGTCTGACAGCAGCTCTGTCCCCATTATTTCCACAAACACCCCCGCCTCTGTTGTACTAACAGATGATACAAATGTTTGTGTCAGTAAATGTGTACTACATTTACTGACACAAACATTTGTATCATCTGTTGTAGACCCCAATAAATAAAATAAGAACTCATTCTCAAAAAAGATAAACGCCATTCTTAAAATGTATAAACGAACAATAGTTAGATTAATATTGATTAGAGTGCACAATAGAAATACAATAATTGAGAGAAGAAAAAGAGATATATTATCTATCAAAACCCAGTTAGATTAACATTCATTGGATTGCACACTTTGTGTGTTTGTGTGGATATGTAGCACATTAACATTTTAATAGCACTTAATGACTGACTGAATGGAAATGACAATAAATGAAAATGTAAAACGAAAAAAGCGATCATGAAAATGTTTCCAACAAATGAATAAAATTATTTTTGACCACTTTGTTGTTCAGATATATCACATATTTGTAACTAAATGATACATGAATTCCCTCCATTATCGCTCCTCGATCCTCGGTCCTCCGGCAGAAATAAGAGCCATGGGACGCTACTCAAGATGGCGCAGACAAATCAACTTCCGGTGAGACCGAGGAGCGAGGAAATGAAAAATAATCGACCTGAGACGGGGCCACGGGCTGCATCTCACTTCGGTTAAATGAAATTCTTGCGTCGTTTCCCTGCGTTTAGAAGCATGGGGCCCTTCTCACTTCGGTTAAATGGATTCCTTGCGTCCCTCACTTGCGTCGTTTCCCTGCGACTAGTCCCTCCCACCAGGGAAGCATGGAGAGATGCAAGGAAACCACGAGAAGCAGGGAAATGAGTTTTAAGAGCAACGGGACTTCCTTTCCTCCGGAGCGTCACGTGAAGATGTCCGTTTGTGATGACGCTGCACAGCTGATCGTCTGACAGCAGCTCTGTCCCCGTTATTTTCACAAACACCCCCGCCTCTGTTAGCACACATTTACTGACACAAACATGTGTATCATCTGTTGTAGACCCAAATAAATAAAATAAAATAAGAACTCATCCTCAAAAAAGATAAACGCCATTCTTAAAATGTATTGAAAAAGCGATCATGAAAATGTTTCCAATAAATGAAGAAAATGATTTTAGACCACTTTGTTGTTCAGATATATCACATATTTGTAACTAAATGAAACAAAACACGGTAGGCTATAAACTGAGGAGTGACTCCCGTGAGGTTCATGTATTTTCTTCACTCCGCTGGGAAACTGCTCTCAAGTCAAGAAGCATCAGATCAGTGCATGCACTGCCTCGTCCAATCAGTGAGTGATACACAGTAAGGGGGCGGGTCGAGTGTCTGAGGATTTCATCGAAGGATGGTCTGGTGGTTCCTCGGTTATAGCTCCTCGCTCCTCCGGCAAAAATAAGGCCATTGGGACGCTACTCAAGATGGCGCAGACAAATCAACTTCCGGTGAGACCGAGACCGAGGAGCGAGGAAATGAAAAATAAGAT